CCATTTCTCTAGGTAGAGGTAGTTCTACTGGCTTTCACTTGCCCTTTCCCTACATAATAGCCCTCATTCCACTGGTCAGGGAGCCAATGTTTTGATTCATTCGGTTGCTTAGAAATGTACAAAGCATATCTGAGGAAGACAATGTAATATTCCGCCTGAGGAATGTAAATGTACACTTGCACAGAAAGAAAAATATAAAATCCTGAATAAGAAGACTCAGCAGCATTGTGTCAATAATTCTTAAGCTCATACACACACTTTTACAACCTACAAATTTATTCTGAGAAAGTTTTCACAAATCTCTTTCTTCTTCTTTCATTGGAAAATAACCCAGAATTTACCTTCTTCTAACACTGTTTCCTTGGAAACTGGGAAATAGGAAATGTCATCTGTGATAGCAGGATCCAGGCTTAGATTGATAATACTTGGGGGACAGGCATGGTTTCAGGATTTTTTAGTCTTGTGATTTGTAAATCAGTGTCCCCCTTGCAGGTCCTGGGCTCTGCTCAAGTTCTCCTTTGAGAGATATGGACTCCTGCGGGGATGAAGAGTCCAAGTCTAGATGACACCCTCACTGACACACAGGTTTCACTTCCTTGTTACTCAGGTGTCACCTGGGGAGATGCAGCACAGACCTGGACGGCTGCAGGGACTCCTGGTGCTGTCCTTCATGACATGCTGTATTTCCTGCCCTTAATCTTTCAGCAAAGCTGAGATAACTGTTGCCAGAATAGCCTACTAGTTTCCTGTTAGAATGAATGTCTGAACTACAGACCATCACTGACCTTCAAGCAGAGTGGGCAATGCAAATACCTACAGCTTTCACTTTGGAGTAAGACAAATTCATTCTAAAGTTTCTAGGGATAGGTAACAATAGCCATGAAAGCTCTAAAAACAAAGAAAGAATTACATGATGGCTGGTCCCACTGCTTATCACATCTAAGAAGTCTTTACAATTATACAGTTGGTGCTGGTACAGAATGGACAGATAGAAACCAGATTATAATAGAAAGTATAAAAAGATACACATGCCCAAAGAAATTCTTATATGAGTAAAGTCACATCTCAAATGACTAGGAAAAGGACAATGTTTTTAATAAATACAGTTGAGACTACTGGAGAGTCATTTAAAAAGTAAAATATATCCATACTTTCACGTCATTTTTAATTTTAGATATCTCCATGTAAGAAAACAAAACCCATTCTTCAATATAAAAACAATCAGTGCATTTGTTAAGAATAGGATATGTAAATCTATGATTCAGAATTTGAGGAAACAAAAAATAAGTCTGATAATTATAAGTGCATAAAATTCAAAAATTCCTGCCTAGAAAAATCAACATGAACTCAAACGCCAATAACAAATTGAAAAATATGTCTAATTCACATCACAGAAATGGGAAAGGAAAAGTGATGATCTCATTATTTCCATAGAAAAGAATAATAAAAGGAAAAAGGGGCTAGTGTCTTAATCAGAAACTTAAGAGAAAAAACAAAACCAAACAAATGGCCCTTGCATATCTTAAACAAAAATAAGCACATTCATAATAATAAAATACACAGGAGTACCGTTTACTATCTACCAAACAGGAAGATATCCAAAAGGTTGGCAACATCCTCAGTTGGCAGGCCAAGGAAAAGAGGCTCTCTAGAACACTGCAGAATAACATACACCACTCCTATGGAAAAGAATTTGAAATATCTAAGACATTTACAAATACATTTGCCTGATGATCCATTCGTTTCACTCCCAGCATTATATCCTGACAGTAGGTCCACACAGTGTATTCATCCTGTCATTCGTTATCTGTAATAACAATATATAGAATGTTCTGAGTGAGATACATTCTAAAATGAAAACTGCAAGGTACAGATAATGTGTAAAGTAACCTCCCTTCTCAATAACAAAAGGAGATTAATGAACACAGGAGAGATGTCAGAAACTAATAAAATTATAACTTTGTTCAATGAGGGAACAGGTGTGATGGAAGTAAGACTACTCTGCATAGACCCTTCTCATATCACTTTGATGTTTAAAACATGTAGGTG